TTTTGTCTCCCCGAACTCCAATCTCTTAGAGAGCTATCACTCAACAGGTATCTTCAGCTTGTATTCAACTCCTCGTATATCGTCTCTCCAGCCCGTATCTCTCTCACCCCGAGTCGATTCTGTTCAGCGCCGCTTCAGTCTACGTCCTGCGCTATTTGGTGCAACATGAAGAACTCGGGAAAGGCGAACAGGACCAGACTTCATCGGCTTCTTCTGTCGTTTGTAGAATGGCTGTAGGTCAACACAATCAAAGAGCTGACATGAGTGCGTGTCAAGAGCGCTGTGTGCTGCACGCTAAGGTGAGTCGTGTCAAAAATGCCAAGAGACATTTTCAATCTGGACGAATCACTCGATCACAGCGTATCCTTAAGTTGGTATCATCTGACTTTACCCTTTTCCAATTGCATTGGCTCCTCAAAAGGCACCACCTTGTTGTTTCCGGCAATGCAGATTATCTTAATAAGGCAATAATGCAATGGAGACCAAGCAACAAGGTACTGGGCCTGATGTGGCCACCCCGGGGGATGGGAGTAGAGGGATCCCTGTTTCAACTTGAAGTTGGCTGACATTGCTTTCAAAACATGCTTATCTCGGCCATTCTTGTGAAATGAAACGATTGTTTAGAAACACGTGTCTCTTTGGTGGTGGAAGGGGCTAATTGTGGTCAACTTGTGAATACTGATGCTTTGAGAGCCGCCATCATCAGACTTCAGGTATAGTCTCCTCAATTGAAACCCTACATATGCATCTTGTCTGTTGATTGGGATGATGCTCTAAGTTAAGCAGACAGTTGTACAGTTAGCAATGGTGTGGTATCTCTACGTTTCTGCCTCTAGCCATGGCATTCTAGCCCAAGCAACAAGAAAAACGACACTGGGCTTGATGTGACCAGTCCGCTGGGATGGAGTTTTGTCTCGCCAACGCTGCTTTTGAGCGCGATTCAAGATTGAAGCCATCAGACCAGGGTTGTACCTATTCGAATTTGCTCTGAATCAGGGTTTTATGTCTTTGTCCATCGACGATGTTTAACTTGGCAATAATCTCAATACATCTTTTATTATGCAAGATGCCATCCAACGAGTACATGGTCATAGAACATTGAAGTTGCTGATAAGATTGCTAAACGTACCCGTAAACAGAAGGCCTGCAAGACCAAAAACAACAACGGCACATCGATCTTCACAGCAGTCCTCTCTCTCTCTCCGCTTCCTTCAACTGATCGCTGATCCCTCTAAGCGGTGACACCATTTAGTGCCTAATTATCGATCACTTATCAGCTCCACCGCCTGCTTACATTGACCAGCAACCCGTGTTTTATGGGCATAGTAAGCGCTATCTCGTATTTGACATGGTGGCCGGGAACCACTTCGAAGCGGTAGTTGTAAATCAGCGCGGCTGCTGCAGCCTTCATCTCCAGGAAAGCCAGGTCCTTGCCGATGCACATGCGAGGTCCGCCCTGTAGAGAAGTCAAAATTGGTTCCGTGAACATACCTACGTATCCCACTTTGAGGAATCGTTTGCACTTCTCCACATCCTCACGAAGGCATTTGAGTTCATCTTTCTTCCCGGTGCACTAAGTCCCGCCGTGCAAAGAAGTCGGTCGTGCATTCAAAGCTCAAAGTTGACCGGATGTAGTCGAGGGCGTTTGCGCTATACTCGGGCGATAGCGTGATACAAACTGCCTGCTGCAAACTCACTGCTTCCAAAGAGGGAGAGGAATAATCGTGTGTCAAAAGCGCGAAACACGAATCGAATCGACGTGCCAAATGGCTGGTCAAGCTGCCGTTCATGACCACGAACGAGAAGCAAGGTTCGTAGAGACTTCATAAGGCGCAAGACTCCAGAGCAGCGTCCCATTTAAAACAGGTCAAATTATCCTGTACCTGGAAAGCGGTGAACTTGTACGAAGATTCCGCCTTGTAGTCTCCGTTCGGGGCGAGCCACCTTTCCGGACGGAACTCGAGGGCGTCCGGGCCCCATATGCTCTCCTGGCGGCCCATGGTGTAGGCGGTCCAGACTACGAGGGATCCCCTGGAGATCTGGGTCCCGTCCGGAAGGACGTCCGAATCTACGGCGGTCTTCCGGTCCTGGGGAACAGAAGGGTGTAGGCGGAGCGTCTCGGACAGCGCCGCCTACAGAAAGCGGAAAGTAAGGATTGGTGAAAGTTTCGCCTCCAAGGAGTAATATCTTCGAAGAAAGAAACGGTGCGGATGGACGAATGGAGGCGAAAGACTATTTTCCTGATGGCCGGCATTTCAAGTCGAGACGGTGCGCAGGACAAACTGTCCGCGGCTTGCAGTCGCCCTTCCAGAATGCCTCAGCATTCGATTCTATTAGCACTGATAGCAGCTCCTTCGTACCCGAATAGATAGAGGAAGGGTGCGGGCTGATAGAATACCAACATAGGGCTGCCACGGCTGAGGTAAGGTTCTTGCTTGAGAAGGCAACACATATATATGCAAAGAAAATTCGGCGCGCAGACTATGTGAACAAATTTTTGGAACTTCTGTGATCCTCATCTTGGAGTCTTTGCAGACCGCTCCATCAGCAAATGACCGAATACCTGGGGTGCATTCTTGGCACAGCGATCGAGTTCCTGGAAGCCGACCAGCGAAGCTATTCTGTCACTCATGTGATCGCACAATTCGTTTGACTTGAACAAAGTGATGTCTCCGGGGACCCTTCGACAAAAGGAATCTAGGCTGTACCTGTAGATAATTGAGCTTCCTGACTTTTCCGAAAGACAGCTGTTCTGCTAACCGCTCCCCCTCCCCCTGCCCCAGTTCCAGCACCACCATCACTTCTTCTAATATCCTCTCCTCCACGTGGCAATTCCTTGTCAGCTCGTATATCATCCACGTGATCGCCCCTGCTGACGTGTCCCTGCCCGCATTGATAAAGTTGATGACGACGTCGCGCAGGTAGGCGTCCGATAAAAGCGCACCATTGCCATCCCGCATTGTCATGAACCGCGAGAGCAGGTCTTGCGGCTCGAAGCTTGGAATTTGAGGGTGTAAGGCGTGGGTCTCGGGATTTGGGGTCCCGCATTGCTGTTCTTCAGAAAGCTCCTCGGCGACTCATCCTCCCCACGCGCACTCTCAAGTCTCGCAAGCTCGCCCCTCCTTGTCCGTATCACCAAGTCCGCAAAGCGATTGATCGTTTGCACAGCCTTGACCATCTTTCCCTCCCCTCCTATTCTTAACATTCTCTTCACCTTCCAGACCACCGGAGTCAAAAACCGCTCGGCCACGACCTGGTTCGCGAGGTTGAACGCTTTGGCAAAGTCGGACGCTTCAGTGTAGCCATCTGGGGAAGTGAGGGCGACCAAACGGACCCCGAAGCCGACGTGGCAGATGGACTCAAGCGTGAAGCTCATCAAAACGTCCTGCGCAACTTCAGCAAGCTATCAGAGCCTTCCTTTACATCGTTTTTTGCTGTCAGTGCCTGTTCCACTTTAAGACTTGGCCCGAGTGAGAGGACCCTAGAAATTGTCATGCACAGCACCAGCACATGCAGCAATTTTTAATTCATCTCTGAATCCGACTGTGCATTTCTATGTTTCCAAATTTGGACTCATCGTGACAACTTCGATTTTCAGATCGCAGCCTCTGAATCCAAGGGATTAGAAACCTCGGGAGGTGCTGCATCGTTGTCATGATACCACAACAAAGAGGGGCCCTGTTCCGACTTTCGACTCAACCACCAGTGTTGAATTCTCTCTCCTTGGCTACTGGACCGGCAGGAAGCCCCGACAAAGCCTTGGCATCCTGGTATGCCAAGAAGTGAAGATGCTGATATGCAAGTCCTGACTTTAGGGGACACGACGCTTCAGCGAACTTGCTGCATTAGCTCCGCCCCCTTGATTCACACAAGTAGATTTTCTGCAAGTGCGACTCTTATTAAGTTACGCTTCATGCCTTCTATCTTTTTGCTCTCGAATCCATTGAAGGACCTAGGAGAAGCCATCGTCTGCTAGGCCATCTGGGCCAGGTCTAATGCAACCACAGCCTTGATGAACTCGCATATATTCAAGGCGTAGCGAAAGAAACAACACTCAGAAAACAGCTAGCAAGGTCTACTGAGTTTCCTAGCAGTCATTTGGTCTGGTCAGAGGAACAAAACAAAACTCGCCGGCCAAGATTCTGAAGGCAAAGATCAGGCACTTGAAACACCAACCTGGAGGTCCAGGACTGTTCCCTGCATGGCCGCATGATCCACCTGCCTGACCAGGGCCCCCACCTGCTCTTGGAAAACGGCAGTGGCATGCTCCCGCAGCTTCTTTACCGAGAACTCATGGACCGCAGTCTGCAGAACGGAACAACGATCAACGGCACCTCACTGACCACAGTCTGCACAGATTGGAACACGAGTATGTATAGTGGCAGCAGAGACAGTCCCGTCGCAGCTGGATAACAACTATCAGAGCTTCACCAATTGCCAGAGCTTCACCAAGTACTCGTACACTACAGTCTGCGCAGAACCAATGAGGGCTCAAGGCTTCTCGACTTATGGCTCTCGGCTTCTTCCCTCAAGATCATGCAACCATCCTGTGTAAAATTGGAAGATTCAGTGGGGGGACCGAAAGTGCACATCTGATCATAGTGGTATGGTCTGGCTCAAGTGTACTTCAATGGTCGAATGTGTGACCCGTGGTTCAAGCGTGGATCAGAACTGCACCTTCCTCTGCAGGGTCCAATTGTCTCCATCCGCATTGAAGATGCCGCTGCCAAGAAGCTCCATCAGGTTCTCCCTGTCCCTGTCACCCTGTGTGGCAATGGTGAAAAGGTGACTTCAACTGTAGGCATTTTGCC